TTTGAGTTTTTGGGGTGTGAGAGGCAGAGCAGCTGGAAGCCAGCAGCTGGAAGCATTCCTGCTGGCTGTGTATTGCTGAGCTCTCCAGGCACTCCCCTCCTGCTCCCTGACACGCTGTGTATCCGAAGGTGGATCCCAGACATCGGAAATTCAATTACGCCCGAGGAATCCCTGTCCGAGTGTTCACTGCCTTCCCAAAGAGAGGGGAACAAACAGGGATCCAGGCAGGCAACACTCCACATCTCATCTCATTCAGAGTGCACTCCCTGTTTCTTGGCATTATGAGTTTGTTGTGAATGCTGAATTTGTAATGCAAAAACACCAGCAGTGAAGATTTTTTTTTCTTTTTTCTTGACAAGTTTTCTGGGAAAATCCAGAGCTGCTCTATTTTTTGCACACAGCCACCCCATCCTTCTTCTTGTCTGCAGGGTGGACTCAAACAACAGCATCCACTTTAGGATCTCTTTCCTTGCTAGGTGCTTTGAGGAGGATGGCCAGCTCCACCACCAAAGCAAAACAGAAAATTCAGAGAACAAATCATACATGGTAGTTTTTTTTAAATATTTTTCCTCTTGCCATCATCCAACACTGCTGACATCAGTGCTAAATCTCCTGCCATAACTTTCACTGTTGGAGCCTTGCTCCAACAATGGAAGGAAATGTTTACAAGGTTTGTATAAATGCATATATTCGTATAAATAAATACATAATGTGTATATGCATTATACATCTATACATTTATACGTGCACACACACTAAATTTAACGCTGCAATTATAATTTGGGATTATTCAAAGCCTGCATTTTAAAACTTCCACAACCTTCTACCTGGATAATATATTTTTTAATTTTCTGCTATTTACAGGCGTGCATAATTCAAACTGACAAGTGCTAGAGCTGCGGAAAAGAGGCAAGAAACAAGAACCAAAGGTCCTTGCTAAGTAGCAGGATGAAAGATGGCTTAGTGTAATTTTGCAGAAGGATTCAGTTTTGCAGATTTCCAAACAAGAAACGTGGATATTAATGGGGGTTTGCAAAGAGCAAACTCAATAACAGTCCCAGTCAATTAAAAGTACATAAAGTATTAATGTGTTATCCCCTGGTTTGTGTTTAAGGGGCTGTGGAGACTAAGAAGGAGACAGCTGGGTGACCAGTGGTTTAGAGTCATTATTATTAATTTGGGTTTGTGTCAGAAGTAGTAACAAAGGACACAACAGGAAATAATGATGATTCTACTTTGATAGATAATGGAAAATTATGTGTTTGTGACAGCAGTTCAAAAATGAGGTGAACGAGAAATGCCTTCAGATTTAATATGCATTTAGGATCTTTCTAAGGATGCTTAGAGAAGAGGGGATGAGGTGAAACTGAACAGTGAAGTGAAAAGTAAATGAAAGCTATGGAGAAATTAATGATTGGGAAAAGAAAGACTTCTACCAGATCTTGATGGAAACCAACAGAAGAAACAAAAGTTGCTCCTAAGTAGGAAGACCACAATCACTGAAGGAAAATAACTAATGGTAAAAGCCAGAGTTTGTACATTTATGTAATTTTTTTAAGTAACAGCAACTGGAACTATAAATGAATAGTTGGGCACAGCTCAACATTCTGGATTGCCTATGATCTGGCTTCAGTACAAAATCCAAAGACAAAATGATGAATCACAGAGGAGAAAGTGACTCGAAGAAAGAATTCACAAGAAAAGTCTGCACTGAGCAGGAATGGGATATGCTTCAGTCCAAGCTGATCCCATCCCTGCAAGTGCTCCCTTTGTGCTGGAATGGAGGGAGTGACACAGCTATTTCCCTGGTCAAACAGCTCTTTTGAAACCACATTTTCAGTCCTGCCAGACAGGCTGCAATGCCAAGGAATTTGAACCTTCTCTCTTGTACACTACCTACTCATCCGCACATTGTGGATCCAAGGGATTCTTCTTGCGAGCCGGTCATGCGAATGGCACTGAGGAAAACACAGCTTCAGAGGCCCTGAACAAACCCTTCCTGCTCACTTAATTACACTGGCCAAGGGAGGCCAGCTTTGGTGCAGTCTGACCTCCAGTTATGAGGCACACTGTGGTCTCCTCACTGAGCTGTGCAGGCATCAGTGGCAGCACGCCAGCAATGGCTCTATTAAAATCAATTTGAAACTCCCCATTCTATGCCTCTTTCACCTTAGGTGAGATAACACACCTTATACTAATGCAACTCTTCGTAAAACAGAACTGACCTGTGCAAAACAGTGAACAGTTCTATTCTCTTTTTGGACATTTTTTGTATTCTTGCAAAAACAAAGAGAAAAGGAAAAAGCAGATCAAGAGGCTTAGTAGATCTCTATCTTTGCAGTGGACTGCTGTTTAAAAGAGTATTTAAAGAAGGAAAAAATAAAAATAAAAAAAAAGCAGAAAAGCAGAATTATGTTTGTTCTCAGAGTCACCAAGGAGAATAAACTGCAAGAGCTCCCTGACACAGCAGGCAGGCAGCTCCCAGGCTGCTCCGTGAGGCAATGCTTGATATTCATGGAAACAATGAAATCTCACCAGATTTAGTGCAAAAAAGAGATGAATAGCCAGTCTGTGATTTTACAAGCAGGAGGAAGGCCACAGATTCCCAGTTTCCCCAAAGCCTTCACAAATTTACTGATTTTAAGACTCCTCAGATGAGCACGTGCTTAAGCAAGATTGTGGCATCACCTCAGAAGAGTTACCTGAAGGGTCATCACCTGCTTTACCTGGAACAGCAATGGGAGAACATTATCAAACATGAACAAAAACCCAGGGATTTCCTCCCCACCCTCTCCATGCACCCTCAGCAGCTCAAGGGGAGATGATTTCCTAAAAAGTCCTGTGCCTGTGATTTCCTGTGCCACTGGAACGCTCACTCTCACACTGAGTGAGGTACCAGGGGAAGGGAGCAGGATCTGACCTGACAAACCTTATGGTTCTTTAATTTTTACTCATCATACACCAGAAAACTCCAAATTAATATCAATATAAATAATAATTTTACGAAGTGACTGCTGAAGGAAAATTAGAATCTTTCAGACTTGCAGCTTGTGCTGTTGTTACTGTTTACAGAAGGAAATCTCATCACCATTGCATTCTTCTAATCTACATGGCCCCATATACATTGAAATGTTCACAGTAATGTAACTTATTCCAGTCCAAATCTCAAAATAAGTTACCCTGCTACAGGCAGCAATATCAATAAATGACCATTCTTTTACCTAGAAAAAACATTAGTTCCAGATCAGCCTTTCTAATATTACAGTATACTCTTGTCTTCTTTATCAGAAAAAAAATTAAATGTTTTTCTTTAGTAAAGGATTGGTAAAACATAAATAGAAGTGATGTTCTGAGCTCTCTCAGCCTTTGTGGCACCCAGCTTGTTGGTATTCCTCACAAATATTTTTCCTCACAATATATCCAACAGTTTTTGCACTGCAGCAGATACTCTAAATTGTGTGTGTGTGCCTGGTAAATGCTGAGGCAGAGCTCCTCAGAGAAAGCCCCAGTTACCTGTTTAATATGAAGTAAATTTCTGGAGCTGTCAGCATTTTTGGTCAAAACCACCTGGAAGACAAAGCACTTTGCAAGAGACAGCTTTGACAACCTATGGATTTTAATAGTGGAACTGAAAGGATAAGACAACTTGGAGAGAGGGGAGAGAGAGGGAGAGATGTGCTCTTGTAAGGGATTACTTGGTGAAAGAATATCCCATACACAAAGTAATGCGGCATATTTCCAATTAGGAAAAGTAGTGAAAATTTTAGTGTTTGCCTCATTGCAATTTCTGTCAAGTTAAAGATGTATACAAAATTTATTTAACTATCTGAAGCAGTGATTTAGCCACAAATGAGGATAATAATATGATAATATTGCATACTAATATTAATATTACATGCCTCAGTGAAATAAAGCCTAGAAATAAAAGAAAGGGAACTATTTAGTAACACCACATGCATGAATAATATGTACTGACTGCAGACCAAGAATAATAAAAACCAAAGTCTTCCACACATGCATAAACAGAAAGGAAGAGAAAGTGCAGAGTCACAGGGGTTAAAGTTTTATTAACTACCATTGGTAGTCACCACCTGACCCCTACTCAGCTGATAAAGGCTGGTTTTGATGTTGGTGGAGTTCTGTACATGAAGTAACTGCTGCTTTTGCCAGTGTCTAGAAATGCCTGAACTCCAAAGATTAATTTTTCAAGTTCATGCATTCATCTAACGAGATTATCTGCATTTATCCTATTAACTCTGCCCAGCAGATCCTGTGGTCTCACATCCCCTAATCCATTCCCAGCTGCACACAGGCTTTCAAGTCAGACTGGAACCGTGTCCAGGACACACAAACAGGTGCTAAAAATATTGGTACATCCAAGACTAGGTAACCCCCAGCTGAAAAGTGTCTTTGATCTCTTTGAAAGAGAAAACTATGGGTGATATTCCTGCACCATCTTTCAGTGTGAGCTACTGGCAGGCTTGTGTTTTAATAAAGCTCATTTTAAGTGATTCTGATTGTGCTAATCCATCAGTAGGCAATGGCAGAATCATGGATTGGGTTTGTTTGTAGCCCAGAAGCAGCACAGGATTTAGATGAGACATTTTTAAGATTTTAACAACAAATACAAATTGTCTGGTGCAAGCTACGGTAACCCGGACTTCACCTATGCAGATATTTTACCAGAACAGTCATTTGCAAGCTGATCCTTAAGTACTTTATGAGAGATAAATCTAATAGCCTTTCTGGGAAAACCTCAGCAGGATGCAGACACTGTAATAATCCATATGCAAGCTACCATATTGTATTGTGTGCTGTCAGACAACAAATCGCCGCCGCGTTTCAAAGCCACACGCAAGGACGACACTATAACGATCCATAAGCACACGGGCGCGGCCATTTTAAACCGGAAATATAGCGCGCGGCCATGTTTTTGCCGGAAATACAGGGCGCGGCCATATTTAATTTTTGCCGGAAATACAGGGCGCGGCCATATTTAACCAGAAATACTTAGCGGCCACCATATTTAATCGGAAAATCAAAGATACAGTTCCAGGCTCGAGTTCCAGGTTGCAGTTCCAGGCTCAAGTTCCAGGTTATGGTTCTAGGTCACGGTTCTAGGTCACGGTTCTAGGTCAGAGTTCTAGGTTACGGTTCTAGGTCACGGTTCTAGGTCAGAGTTCTAGGTCACGGTTCTAGGTTACGGTTCTAGATCAGGGTTCTAGGTTACGGTTCTAGGTCAGGGTTCTAGGTCAGGGTTCTAGGTCATGGTTCTAGATCAGGGTTCTAGGTTACGGTTCTAGGTCACGGTTCTAGGTTACGGTTCTAGATCAGGGTTCTAGGTTACGGTTCTAGATCAGGGTTCTAGGTCACGGTTCTAGGTTACGGTTCTAGGTCACGGTTCTAGGTTACGGTTCTAGGTCACGGTTCTAGGTTACGGTTCTAGGTCAGGGTTCTAGATATCGGTTTCACTTTCGGTTTCGGTTTCACTTTCACTTTCGGTTTCGGTTTCACTTTCAGTTTCACTTTCACTTTCGGTTTCACTTTCGGTTTCACTTTCGGTTTCACTTTCACTTTCGGTTTCACTTTCACTTTCGGTTTCACTTTCACTTTCGGTTTCGGTTTCACTTTCACTTTCGGTTTCACTTTCACTTTCACTTTCGGTTTCACTTTCACTTTCGGTTTCGGTTTCACTTTCGGTTTCGGTTTCACTTTCACTTTCGGTTTCACTTTCGGTTTCGCTTTCACTTTCGGTTTCAGTTTCACTTTCAGTTTCGGTTTCACTTTCGGTTTCACTTTCGGTTTCACTTTCGGTTTCACTTTCACTTTCGGTTTCACTTTCACTTTCGGTTTCACTTTCACTTTCGGTTTCACTTTCACTTTCGGTTTCGGTTTCACTTTCACTTTCGGTTTCACTTTCGGTTTCGGTTTCACTTTCACTTTCGGTTTCGGTTTCACTTTCACTTTCGGTTTCACTTTCGGTTTCACTTTCACTTTCGGTTTCACTTTCGCTTTCGGTTTCGGTTTCACTTTCACTTTCGGTTTCACTTTCGGTTTCACTTTCGGTTTCACTTTCACTTTCACTTTCACTTTCGGTTTCACTTTCACTTTCGGTTTCGGTTTCACTTTCACTTTCGGTTTCACTTTCACTTTCACTTTCGGTTTCACTTTCACTTTCGGTTTCACTTTCGGTTTCACTTTCACTTTCGGTTTCACTTTCGGTTTCACTTTCAGTTTCGGTTTCACTTTCGGTTTCACTTTCACTTTCGGTTTCACTTTCACTTTCGGTTTCGGTTTCACTTTCACTTTCGGTTTCGGTTTCACTTTCACTTTCGGTTTCACTTTCACTTTCACTTTCGGTTTCACTTTCACTTTTGGTTTCGGTTTCACTTTCACTTTCGGTTTCACTTTCAGTTTCGGTTTCACTTTCACTTTCGGTTTCGCTTTCACTTTCGGTTTCAGTTTCACTTT